CCCCCCACATTCCTTCTCTTCATTGCCGTTACTTCGACCAACGACCACCAACCTCCGACGACCTAATAAGTTCTTTTTCTCTTCTCCTCTTCTCGTGTCTTTCTCTCTCCTCACTCTATTCCCCTTTTCCGACATCGTTTCCCCTATATTTTGCCCCGTCCTCCATAAGACACTCCTAAATCCCGTCGCCCCTAAAATTTTAGGGTACGCCACTATTGGCCGAACCCTAGACTATTTTTCTATTCTCATTCTAATATCCCACATTGTTAGTTTTGTGTGATAATGCTTTCTAGACCCATGATAAAAAAAATAAAAAATCCTTTATTTGTGCTAAATTTGCTCGATTCATATGTATATTCTAAGTTGTGATTGAAGTTGAGTTGTGCTGCGTAATTGTCGACGACAATCCTCGTTGCTTTGGGAGGGCGGTACCCTCCATGAACTGCATAATGTGCAAGTTCTGAGTTAAGCGCACCAATTGTTTGATAATTTGCCTCAACGGCTAAATGGTAATTTTCGCGAAGTTTAAGTAGCGAGCCATACTTTAGAGGTTGTTATGTGTTAATTTGACAGGGTGGAACTCTTCTCTGATTTTGTTGGCATTCCATTAATATGCACGTACAGTTAAATCGTTTGAGGTTGAGTGAAGTTTGAGTACTCGAATTATTGAACTATCTTTAATATTATGATGTCGCTCTGGCATGTTCGTAGATTGTTCTGAATGCTGAAATACCATTTTGTGCTCACCTTGAGTTTGCTCATTTTGGTAAGATAATGTTAGTCATAGCCTCAAGTACTAAGTGCAGAGTGGGTAGGTATAACGACCCAGACGATCGTTTTGAGTATTACAGCCTCGTTCCCCTTATTTACTGCTTATCATGTGTTCCATTATAAATATATGACTTGTCGTGGATATTTCAGAATGAATTGGAACAGTTAGCTCCAAGATTTAAAGCTTAAGTTGAGATAGTTGGCTGAATGTCGACTTATATGTAAATGAATTCGGAATAAAGTTTTGATGATTTCAATAGCTCCGTATGGTGATTTTGTACTTAGGAGTGTATCCAAAAAATTATTTGGAAGTTCGTAGTTAAATTAGGCTTGAAATGGCAAAAATAGAAATTTAAAGTTGGAAAGTTTGACCGGGAGATTGATTTTTTGATATCGGGGTCGAAATCTGATTCTGAAAATTGAAATAGGTACGTTATGTCATTTATGACTTGTGTGAAACATTTGAGGTCAATCGGACTTGATTTGATAGGTTTCGGCATCGAATGTAGAAGATGGAATTTCTTAGTTCCATTAAGCTTGAATTGGGATATGATTCGTGGTTTTAGCGTTGTTTGATATGATTTGAAGCCTCGACTAAGTTCGTATGATGTTTTGGGACGTATTGGTATATTTGGTTGAGGTCTCGGGGGCCTCGGGTGAGTTTCAGATGGTTAACGGATCAAATTTGTACTTAGAACAAAGTTGGGAATTTCTACCTACTGGTGCAACCGCACCTACGAAAATTATCACGCAGGTGCGATCCCACATAAGGGAGCCTGGCCTCGCAGAAGTGTGAGGTCCACAAAAGAGGAAGAAAACTCGCAGAAGCGCGATCGCAAAAGCGACAAAAATGGTCGCAGATGTGGCATGGGCTAAGGAGGTACTAGACCGCAAAAGCGGACGCTTCTTCGCATAAGCGAGCCCGCAGAAGGGGACTTTTGTCCGCAGAAGCGAAGGTCTGTCGCAGAAGCGGAAACTTAATCGCAAAAGTGTGACCGCAGATGCGGCCAAATAAGCCGCATATGCGAAAACCCCTGGACAGAATAAAATCAGAGGGGTCGCAGGATTTTTGTATTTTTGGACATTTCCAACACGGGTTGGAGCAATGTTTTTCACAGAGAATTCACGGGAAAACTTGAGATAAGTCAGTTGTGATCATTGTTAGTCAATAATATTGAATTATCATTGAGTATTTCGACTAGATTACGTGTTTTAAGGTGAAACTCGAGGATTTGGGTCTAGAGATTTGAAAATAAGATTTGAGGATTTGAAGGTCGAGTTGATGTCGGA